AACAAAACGGAAAAAAAGCTTTGGGGGCCCACAAGTGAGAGAATTGGGGGCTGTGTGGTCCGTGTGCACCAAAAAAAAAAAACCCACCGCACACAGGGGGTAATGGGGAAAAAAAAAAATGAACGTTTTTTTTTTGGGTTTAAAAAAAACCGCTTTGGGTTTTATTTTAAAATAGTATTTTTTCGAGTATTTTTGGGTTTTCCCTGGTTTAGGGATAAAATGGAAAAAATATTTCCCGAAAAAGAGATGATTTTCATTAATTGACCCTTTTAAAAAAGGAGCTCAAAAATAGCGGGAAATGTTTTGATTTTTTCCAATGTTCAGGAAAACAAATCACACCAAAACGTTCCCTTTCACGTCAAAGGGGGGTCTTTAAAAAAATTTCTTTTACTAGCGGCCCCTGATATTATTTATTCCATTTTTACAATAATGGGAAATAGTTGCATAAAACAGTAAATTTTGTATTTTTTTTGTATGAATAAAAAATCAAAATAGAAAGCAATAATAATATAAGAGGGGCCTAGAGATGTGACTAATGAACAGAGGGTATGTTATTTTAGTGCCAAGAATATCTACCTTGTTTATTCTGGATCCTATTTTGAAATTGGCATCTTTTTTAGTTTGCGTGAAATTGGCCAAATTGCCAATTTCTGACCACAATATTGGGTAGTCCAAATTGGTAAATGGGAGGTTTCTTGTACTCAGCTGATAGATAAAATGGAGTTCTAAAGAAATAGCTATGAGTTTGGTCAACTGGAACAACGGAATTGGCTGAAAATAGGGCTCAAAGTCGGCGAAATCGCCGATACGCATATGTCGCCGAGACCGCTAACTTCGCGGGAGCGTAATTCCAGGAGTTTTCGACCAAACTTTTAGTGTCATTACCATCGGAAACAGATTCTCTATCATTTCATAAGAAAAAATAATATTTTTTTTTTCAAAAATTTAGCGACATAGAATGACAGTTTCAGAAAGGGGCCTGAAACAGTCAAAGGGTTAACCCTTTCAGGGTCCAAGGCCAAAATCTGAAGTCACGCACCAGTGTCCAAGAAATTTTGAAAAAAAAAAAAAAATTATTTTTTCTTACAGAATTAAAGAGCATATTTTTGTGAAGGTAATAAAACAAAAAAAAATTAGAATCTGATCAGTACTTACCGAGATACAGTGCGAAGAAGTTTGTAGAAAATGATGTGGTGGCGGCAATATCGACGAATTCCACATACGCGTATTATATTATTTTGTTGTTTTAGTTGTTTTTTCTTTTCTTTCCAATTTTTTTTCTATTCCTACTAACATTTGGGGCCTGAGAGACCAATTACTGTTATATAATTGATATATATATACTCACTGTATTGAACACAATAACCGCACTAAAGTTATTATCATATTATTGTTTACCACTGTTGTTTATTACAATAAACATGCACAAATATTGTATAATACTAATGTTCTATCATATATTTACATTTTACAATCACTGGACATGGTTTTAGAACTGCTGGAGCTTGTGGAACTCCTTGAAACAAGGCACCATGCACAGAGGCACCTTACATTCCTCACACATAAACGAGTGTCTTTGCGTCTTTGTTGCCGTCGTTTTGTTTGTGCACAGACAATGCATCTCTTCTGAGCAAATTTCTTTTGAGTTGAAGGAAGCTGTATTATGAAAATGATCACCTTCTTCTCCTCAAACGCTTGGGTATATTGTGATGAATTCGAGGACCATGTTGTATTGCAGGTGTTGTTACCTGGTACTTCATTATGAGTTGTCTGACAACAGACAAACAAAATTCACCATACGGTGGTCTGTTACCAGTCTTTATTTGGTACATAATTATATGCATTCAGCATTGAAATGTCCATGAGATGGAAGAAAAGTTTCATGTACCACTTGTAACTCTTACGAACACAGTCAACAAAACCAATCTGCATGTCACACTTGTCAACCAAGTGCATGTTTTGTGTATAATCAATCACTGTCACTGGTTTTCGAATACGTTCATTAGTCACTCGATCAACTTTGCCACTGTCTTACATTTCATTTACGGTGAATGGTTGTCAACAATGTGACATCTCGTTTGTCATGCCACCGTAATGCCATGATGTCATTGGCAGTAAACACTGCACGTCATCACCACGAACACCTGCGTTGAGCCATGGGCATATGTTTACATTATGAACGCACTGTGCCACACACATCTGTCTTGTTCACTCGCATGAAATCACTGAGTAATGGGCTTGTGTACCAGTTATCGGTATATAATGTATGGCCCTTACCAAGATAAGGTGCCATCTATGTTTCTCACTAGTCACCTGATATACCCAATAACATCTTGGTATCTTTCAATGTTTTACTACCCGTGTATACAACAATATCCAACACCAGGCCACTGTCACAATCACAGAGTACAAACAATTTTATACCAAAGCGGTTCCTCTTGCTCGGTTATTACTGCTTGAATGACAGTCTACCTTTGAACAAAATCAAAGACTCGTCAATTACAAGATTCTTGAATGGATAAAAAGTATATCCTGAACTTTTGTTTGAGATACATGAAAAACATTTCTAATCTTGTATAACCTGTCACTTCTGTCAGGCCTGGTTTTGTCAGAGAAGTGCAAACATACGTAACAGTAAGATAAACCTGTTCACTGGTATATATTTCACTGAAGGATGGGGTACAAATTAGCCGATCTGTGGACCAGTATGCTTTTATATTATGCTTATAGACGTGAGGCATAAGCATTATTGTTGCAAAAAGCAAATACATTTCTGCAACAGTCGTCTCTTTCCACTGTGTAGTCTTGACTGTGGTGATAAGATCGTATTTGCCATGGTGTACTGAAAATACTTATTACTTTCCCTGACAATAATTTCCATCAATGGCTGGTCAAAGAATAATTCAAAGAATTCCAGTTCATTGGCCGTGGTTCCAAGGGGACAGGTAGGTAGATTCCACTTTGAGAGTCATCAAAGTGGTGAGGGCTGGGAACAAATTGGGATTTTGCTGCCAATCCCAGATACGGTTTGATGGTGGATACTGGACATCAATAGGCTGGTTGTACGGGTGGTTGTGGCGGGCTGGTGGGTGACGCTCCGCTTTGTCCTTGAACTGACGAGTCAGCAGCGTGGGTCCCCGCGTGGCACAGCGAGTCACGCAATGGCGGTGCACATTACCACCACCAGCCCCACTTAACACCATCCACTGATGTCTGTGGCCATCCATGCCAAGTGTAGCCACATCATCCTCACTATCACTACCTAAAAACGGGTGTAGGGCCACGGGATGTACTCCGGGATGTACTCCGGGATGTACTCCGGGATGTACTCCGTCCCCTGGGCACAGCATAGGGTACACTACCCGAGCGCATGCGGCGGCGAAACATACCGACGCTTCACTGGTGAATTGTTTCCTCACTATCACTACTCGATATGATCGTCGTGCGCAATAAAATCACAATCCACGTCAGAATCATCGTCATTACTGAAGTCAGAGGCCAGGCCACGGGAAAATATTAGTTTTCTCTTACGTTTAGGAACACCCGACCGTGAGTCACGAGTGCCACACACAGAGGTAGAAGGTCGAGGTCGTCGGGGTTTTCTGCACTATTATCGATATCCTGGTCATTATTTTTGGTCACTAACTTATCAAAGCCGTTAGAATTCGTCTTCATTTCCACTTCCATCAGTGTCAGAACTATCAGACAGGAAGAGGAGAGTCCCAATTTTCCGGGGAGTGAGAGCTGACTTGCGACGAGGCATGGTGAACAAGGGTGACTGAGCCGGCGTTCCCACAATGCTATGCAGGCGCCTAGATTTTTTGTTTACGGCGCACACCCACGGCGCAGACCCATTCTCTCATATGTAGGCCTATGAGCGCTTTCGCGCTAAATTTGAAGGCGCTAGAATTTTGGCGTAGATCTACGGTTTGGACACTCACTGACCAGCCGTAGATCTACGGGACGGACCCTGAAAGGGTTAATACATGAAACGTGATGCAGTCCTAGTTTTCCACCAAGGAATATTTCATATATCTTGGCCCTCTTCCTGTGAAATTTTGCATATATCAATATAGTAAGTGAACACTGATTTTTCACTTTTACTCCACCATGAAAAGGTTAGAATATCTGTCAGCCTGGTAACAAAAAAGGTTCACTCTACTCTTCCAGGTGTCAGACCTGGCCTGACTACGACCAACTACAGATCAAATATGGCAACTGTTCACTTACAATTTTAGTCACAAATGTGCTATGCTCCATACCACTATCAACATATGAAGTAACATACCAAGATAACTATTGAGAACCCACTATGTCTAGACCAGATGGGTCTCCAATTCTTGACAAGGGTAGTTCTTCCCAGGCGTGTTTGGGCCCTGTTTATATGCTTTAAATTATGAAAGATTGCTTGTGTTACATATGCTCTGTCTATATACAATTTGCATGAGCTTGAAATAATCAGAATTTTTCTGGTTCATGTAGTATTAGCTCTCCAAGGAAAGTGGAAAAGAATCCATCCTCCATAAGCTATGCATGCTGTAAAAGATGACCAAACTGCTGGGAGCAAGGGGCTAGAACCCCTTCTCCTGTATAAAGTACTAAATGTAAAAATAATAACTTTCTTTTTATTCTTTTTAGGTCACCCTGTCTCAATGGGAAATGACTGGTACGTAAAAAAAAAAAAAATGTAGAATTAGCGAAAGTGAAAGGACAAAATGTCTTGAGGCTGCCACCATCCAGGTCTCAGATATCAAGCAAAATCATGGGGCCCTCACCACTGCAAAAAATTACTTGCTTACACCATTCAAGAACATCATATTTTTGCAGATATTGTACTGTACTTAGATCCCCTGAACCACTTTGCATTACCTGCACTTCTCACCTACTTTATTTTTCAGCACCCCACTGCCTATTCTGCAACTCAGATCTCGCATGCTTCTTCCATATCACTTGCAAGGAACAAACTAACACATTTTTACATTTTAGATCTTCCTGCACCTACTCCTGAAGTGGGGGTTGAGTGTAATTTGGGACTGATGTAATGTGAATTTTTAACATAATCAATGCACAGGTACTGGGTTGATTTAAATGGATTCTAATAAAAAGATGCCAAATAATGAGGAAGTAATGTAATTTAACTGTTTTTCACTGTTGAAAATTAAACAAAACACTACGAATTTGTGCCAAACAAGTCAATATTTGAGGATTCATTTAATATGTCAAACCCAGACATAAAAATATTGTACACACACACACATGAAAAAATAATATACAGGAGGGCGCCCTCCCATTTGCAAACAAGTTGTTTTTTATAGAAGACAGCAGAGCAAAAGATAGTTGTTTCACACATTTGTACTGTAATTACTCTGAGTTTAAATGAAATATTGACTACATGCAAAGTATCAAAATTAATGAGATTAAGAAATAATAAAACAACTTGCAATAATGTATTAACCATATACCCACCAGATTCACATTAGATTCCTACAAACAGCCTTACCAGCCTTATAAAGTCTACAATGGACAAGTAGGCATGAAATATGGCTTTCAAAATTTTGAAAATTTCATGTCAGTGAAGTTATTTAACAAGGTGTCACACTTTTTATATGATTACAGTACATTATTAACACTGACCTAATGTTAGAATAACCAAGGCAAAGTGTTCGGAATATGTAAAACTTTCAATCAAAACAGCAATAATAAAAATATATACATTCACTGCATGGAGCACTACACAACTAACTTAGTGTGGTTCCTAATAAAGTCATCCTCTGAATCACAAGGTTTAGTATTTTCTCCCTTTAAATTTTCAGATGAGTCATGCAGTCGAACAGCCTCATGCATTTTAGTGCTTCTTGAGTCATATTTTGGGATGTGACTCTGCATTCTGTAAAATACTTGATCTTCACTCATCAAATCTTCACCGTCTTCCTTTAATTTATCTGTATGTCCACATGTTTGTGTATCTGGAGGATTCTGAAAATGATATTGCTACAGTTATTTATAACCTGTAATAGTGATCTGAAAACATATTTATGTATGAATTTAAAACAAAGACCAAAGACTAAAATGACTTAGAAAAACTAGGCACTTGTGTGCCCACACAGGTAAGCAAAAATATTCACACACATCTTTAAAACTAATTCTATTAAGTATTGTTGGCTTGGCCATGAGCGGTGCATCAATTATTAAAAATGACATTGTGCACCAGTTTGGCATGGTTTACAGCCATGTAAAGTACATGAAGCCCTTAGTTTATGAAGGCTCCTAGAGCCAAGAATGAGACTATATACATGCTGTAATTCTAGTTACTGTCCAGATTCATCAGTGTTTAACGTGACTGATCAAGGAGTCCATGTATCATACACTTTGCCACATTAATTCAAAAATTAAAATGACTCTTAAACATAAAAACATGACACCAAAACAATAAAATACTTGTTTATAATTGATGTAGACCTGTAATTGTTTTACACATTGGTAGGATTGCTGGTGTCTCTTTTTTCTGTCTCAAAAACATGCAAGATTCCAGGTACAGTGGAACCTCGATTTACGAGTTTAATCCATTCTGTGACCTAGCTCGTAATTCAATTTGCTAGTATATCAAATCAATTTTCCTTGTTTAACCCTTTCAGGGTCCGTCCCGTAGATCTACGGCTTTACGTTCAGGGTCCAAACCGTAGATCTACGCCATGAGCTCAGCTCACTCTGATAAACTGTGAGTGGTACATTTGGGCCTAGATATGAGAGAATACATCTATGTGGTATGTGTGCACCACATAAAACAGATCCTGCAGCACACTGTGTATAATGAGAGAAAAAAATGAAATCATGATTTTTCGATTAATACAGCAACTTTGCAGTGTTTTTTCGTATGGTTTTTATAGTTGTATTTGCGATTTCTTGGTCTCATTTGATAGAATGGAAGAACATATTTACAGAAACAGAGATGATTTTGATTGGTTTTAGCACTGGAAATGGCTTGAAACTGAGCTCAAAGTAGCAGAAATGTTAAATTTTTGCGATATTCAAGAGTAAACTAACGACCTCACAGTCTAATACACGTCAGCTGGTGGGTCTAATATACATTCACAATTGGTGATGATATTTATACAATTATTACAGTATTGCATAACAGTAAATCTTCTATTTTTTGGTTGTGAATAAAAATTCATTATGTGAATAAAAAATCAAAATGGAATTTATTTGTAAAGCCTCAAAAACATAACTATGAAACAGAGGAAATGTTAGTTTAGTGCCTGGAATGCCTACATTGTTCATTCTGGACCCTATTTTGAATTGGAATATTTTGAACTTTGTGTTAAATTGGCCAAATTAACAATTTCCGATCACTTTATTTTGTAGTTGAAACAGTTGACTTGGCGATTTCTTGTGCTCAATCGATAGAATAGAAGTAATACTAGTGAAATAGCTAAGAATTTGGTTGATTGGAATAATGTAATTGGCCTAAAATGGAGTCAAAGTCGGCAAAATCGCCGATTCGTAAATATCGCTGACACATCAAAATTCGCGAGAGTATAATTTCGTCAATTTTCCACCAAATTTCGTACTTTTTGTTTTATTACCTTCACAAAAAGATTCTCTACGATTTCATAAGAAAAAATAACAAATTTTTTTTTTTTAAATTCTTGGACACTGGTGCGTGACTCCAGATTTGGGCCTTGGACCCTGAAAGGGTTAAATTAACTGAAATACCATTAATCCATTCCAGCAGAATTCCTGCTCTCGGGAGGCAGGACAAAATACATGTACTTCAATATAAGGCTAATATCAACTCTATGGGTTATTTATCTATCACAAAACTGATCTAATATGACTAATAAACAATATAAATAACACAAACATTATATATACTCTAGAATGAATAAAATATGTCATTGTGTGATTGGTGGCGGCCATTCTCGCTCCCACTCTGACCATATCTTCCCATGCTCTTATTATAAGAGAAAATAAAGCATTTGTGAGGCTAACTGCCCTAGATCACTAGTTTCATGATGAAAACACAAACAATGTATTTATAAATAAGAAATATTGTATAAAAACATAATAAAACATAACAGAGAATGTAAAGAAATGAACTGGTTTTATAAAGTGTATGTATATATTTACCTTGGAGAAGAGATGCTGGCAGAGCAGTATATGCTGTCAGTGGGTCTATAAACCCCAACAACAACAGGAGTTCATTTCGTTTCGTCCTTTTTCTATCGTTTAATCACTTAACTTACTTGCTACACTCTTAATGCTACACTTTATCGCTGAACTTAACTGCTACAATTTTTTTTTTTCGCTTCACTTTTCACTCATTTACTTGCTACACTATTAATGCTACAACTTACAACCCGCACACCTTGCTTGTGCTTATCTATGATTTCATGCTTTAATTCCATGGACATCATCCTCTTTTTCTTCTCAGCACTGTCCTCTGCACTTACTTTCTTAGGACCCATGGTTACAAAAAAGAAATTTGGTACAATAACTGCACAAAACGCAAGCAAAACACAAGAGAAATGCTTCCGCGGCGAGGTAAACACGTACACTGCTCAGCGGATGTTGTGACGTTCGCTGTGCCAACCAGTGGCGGCGTTCTGAAGCTCTCTCATTATTATTATAATGGGGAAGTGCTAAACCTGTAGGATTATACAGTGCCAGGGGGGAGAGGATGGAAGGTATTCAGGCTTAATTTAGGAAACAGGAGCACAGATCCAATTCCCTAAATCAAAAGCCCCTCACCAGCATCAAGGAACCTTCCTAGAGGGGGAAACTCACTCGTAACTCGGATTCTGGCTTGTAACTCAGAGCAAAAAATCGACCGAGTAACGGCTCATATCTCGAAAAACTCGTATGTTGGGACACTTGTAAGTCAAGGTTCCACCGTATGTCTTAGGTCACACTACATATGCATGTAAAGCATATATATACATACCCCTCTAGGTTTTCTTCTATTTTCTTAATAGTTCTTGTTCTTCTTTATTTCCTCTCATCTCCATGAGGAAGTAGAACAGAATTCTTCCTCAGTAAGCCATGTGTGTTGTAAAAGGCGGCTAAAATGCTGGAAGCAAGGGGCTAATAGCCCCTTCTGTATAAATTACTAAATTTTAAGAGAGAAAATTTTGTTTTTCTTTTTAGGAGAGGAGCCACAACCTTGCCAGGGACAGAGGTTTTTTAGGGCCAGGAGGGAAAAAAAGACTGGCAAGAAATGACAATAACCCTACACCACCTGAAAACACTTCTGGAGCAGAGGCACGGACATTGGCCTCTACTCCAGAACAACAGATATTAGAGCCAGCAAATAAAACCCCCCCTAAATTCCACCAGTACAATGACATTTGTCTTTGCAAACATACAGGGTCTAAAGCCCAAAAAATAACAAAATTCCTTACATCAAGGACTGCTCATGGAGTCAAATGCAATGTTTGCAGCATTCACAGAGACCCACATAAAGGATCATTATGACAACGAAACATGGATCCCAGGTTATAACCTATTCCAATGCGACAGACTAAACAGGCAACAAGGTGGAACGGGGGGGGGAGGGGGGGGGTTGGCCTGTACATCACAAAGTCGCTTATTTGCACAGAACTACTAAACACCTCAAATGATGTAGTTGAAGTTTTGGCGGTAAAGATTGAAAACCAAAACCTTGTCATTGTGGTAGTATACAAGCCTCCAGATGCAACTTCCCAGCAATTCCAGCAGCAGCTTAAGAAAATTGACCACTGTCTGGAAAATCTCCCAACTCCTGCCCCAAACATCTTACTACTTACTACTAGATTTCAACTTGAGACACCTAAAATGGAGGAGTATAGCAGACAAAGTTTTAGCAGAGATCACCCTGGGAGGCAGCTCAGATGAAAATTCACACACACACCAACTATTAAATCTGTGCACCAAATTCACCTTAAACCAGCAAGTAGTGGAGCCTACAAGACTAGAAAATACACTGGACCTCATCTTCACTAACAATGATCTGATACGTCATAACTGTATCAAAGACAATACACTCAGATCACAACATAATAGAGGTACAGACATGTATGCACAGGGCTCTAGACCAGCAAAATGTGAGCAGTCATGAAGGTCTCTTCACAAAATTCAATTTCAATAATAAAAACATACAATGGGATCAAGTAAACCATGTCCTAAATGAAACAAGCTGGGAAGATATCCTAAACAACACGGATCCAAACACTTGCCTTGAAAAAATGAATTCTGTGGTTCTTGAGATCTGTTCAAGACACATTCCACAAAGAAAAAGAAAGAGAAGATGTAAACTAGAAAGAGAGAGACGTTCCCTACACAGATGAAGGCGAAGAGTCACAGAGCTGCTGAGTGGGGTCAATATACCTGAAATACGAAGGGAGGCACTAGTCAATGAAACTGCAAATATCGAACTTAAGCTGAAGGAATCCTATAGGAGACAAGAATCACAGGAAGAACTAAAAGCCATAAAGGAAATTGAAAAAAAAAAACAAAATATGTACTTCTCTTACGCCAAATCTAAGGGAAAAACAACATCCAGTAATGGGTCCCTGCTTAGGCAGGATGGGACATACACAGATAGCCAGGAAATGAATGAGACACTAAAGTCCCAACATGACTCGGTGTTCAGCAAGCCACTGCCCAGACTAAGGGTCGACAATCCAAATGAATTCTTTATGAACGAAACCCAAAATTTAGTCATCTCAAAAATCTCGGATATTATTCCAACTCCACAAGACTCTGAAGAGGCAATTAATGACATGCCCATGCACTCTGCTCCAGGCCCAGACTCGTGGAACTCCGTGTTCATCAAGAATTGCAAGAAGCCCCTATCGCGTGCCTTCAGCATTTTATGGAGAGAGAGCATGGACACAGGGGTCATCCCACACACACTAAAAACAAAAGACATAGCCCCACTCCACAAAGGTGACAGTAAAGCAAATGCAAAGAACTACAGACCGATAGCATTAACATCC